GCAAGGGAGAGGCAGCAGCTGCAGCACCCCCAGCCGTGCTCCCGGGCCCTCACAGCCCTGCTCCTGCACTTCCCGATCCTTTCTCCAGCCAAAAGTGCCCGGAGGGAGCGGGCGGGGGAGCCCCGGCCCCAGCACCCTGCTCCTAACACCCTTGGTCGGTGGCAGCAGGGGGTGGCTGTCCCCAGGCTGTCCCTGTGCCCCCAGCCGGTGGCAGAGGGATGATGAGGAGTGCGGTGGGATGGGGGGAGAGGGACAGGGATGGGAACATGGCATGGCCAGGAGTGGGACAGGGACAGGGATGGAGGGGAGCATGACATGGTGAGAGTGGGAGAGGGAGGGGAGTGTGGCACGGCCCAGAGTGGGATGAGAGGGGACGTGGGGGAGTGGAAGCCAGAGGAGGGACGGCAGGAGTGGGACAGGGAGGGAATGGGATGTGGGGGAGCACGGCATGGCAGCACAGGGAGGGATCGTGGCATGGTGGGAGACGGACAGGAGGGGAGTGGGATGGAGAGAACACGGCGATGACACGGCAGGACAGGGAGAGAGAGCGTGGCAATGGCGTGGCGCGACTTACTGTGGAGGTGGAAGCTTCTTGCTGGGGGAGAAGACGAGTGGTGGATCTGGAAGGCCATGAGAACACAGGGGGATCACACGGCGAGCAACTCAAAACGTGATGAGGAGGAGACGGCGGCACCCACTCGGTCCCCACCCAGGCTGGCCCGTGTCCTGTCCCCGTGTCCTGTCCCCGTGTCCTGTCCCCGTGTCCCGTCCCCGTGCCCGTACCTTGGCGGCGCTTGCGGACGCGCGCGGCGCGGCGCCGGTTCATGATGCAGGCGGCCATGGTGCTGAAGATGACGGCCACGCTGAGGAAGCAGATCCCCCCGATGACCCCCGCCAGCACCGGCTGTGGCAGCAGCTCCGGCAGCTGCGTGCGGGACGGGTACACCTCCATCCCTGCCGCACACGGGGCACCCCGTCAGGCAGGCACAGCCCCCCTCGTGTCACCACGTGTCACCACGTGTCACCAGCAGCACGGGGACACAGCAAAACCTCAGCTCTTGGCCCACCAGGGCTGCTCTGCGCTTGGTGGGACCATGGAGAGGGGATGCTCTGGTCTGTGGGGCTGAAGCCAAGGCAGACCCGTTGCCCCAGCTTTAACCTTTGGGGGTCCTGCTCTGACCCCAGTTTAGCAGCAGGGACACGGGGGTAGGAGCAGCATGAAGAGGCTTCTCCTTTGGGAATCTGGATGCTTTGCACCCCTGGGTTCTGTCCCTGGCCTTACCTGCCGTGGAGACGTTCACCGTGTTGCTGGGGTCGCTGATGTAGCTGCCAGCAAAGGCCACCAGTCGGAACTCATAGAAGGCGTCCTGGGGGACGCAGGGTCATGAACCACGCGGCCACAGTGGCCACCAAACCTTAACCCACCCCGATCAGAGCTCACCTTGATGAGCCCTGGCACCAGCACCTGGGTGTCAGTGCCGGGGATGGAGCGCTCCAGCACCTCCCAGCCGCCCTTGTCCTGCCGCAGCTCCAGCGCGTACCCGCTCAGGGCCACCGAGGCGCGGGCAGGGGGGTCCCAGCGCAGCAGAACCCCCCGCACGGTCTCGTTGGCCGTCAGAGCCCGGGGTGGGGACAGGAAGACGTGCACGGTCATGGCCGGCGGCTCCGGAGGCACTGTGGTCACTGGGAAGCCTGAGGAGACAGCGGAGGTGGGAACACGAGGTGGGAACAGGAACCTCCGGAGTGCTTGGGGGTACCGGGGGTGTTCTGGGGAGCTCCCCTTACCCCTGGGCACGGAGGTGACGATCTGGCTGAAGGGGCCACTGCCCAGTTTGTTCTGGGCCAGGACGCTGAACTGGTAACTGGTGTCTGGCTGCAGGTTCTCCACCAGAAGGTGCTGAGCCCCCGCCGGCACCGACAGCGACACCCAGTCGTGGTGCGCCCGCGGCGGGTACCTCACCCTGGGGACAACAGGGACGTGTCAGCCCGGAGCTGAGGGTCCTTTGGGGGGACACGGCGGGGGTGGGCACTCACAGCGGGGTGTACCAGACACTGAACCTCTGGAAGTAGCCTCCATCGAAGCCTGGCTCCCAGGAGATGTTGGCTGCCAGCAGCAGTGGGAGCACGGAGACGTTGGTGACAGCGTGGGGACTGGTACCTGGCGGGCAGCAGTGTCACATTGAGGGGCTTGACCACCCCTTCCAGCACAGGGTGGGGTTTGCATTGCCCACCCTGGGACCATCCCAGCCCACCAGTGACGGGCAGCTCACCCAGTACGTGGACAGAGGTGGCAGCGGTGACACTGGCCACCTGGTTGGTGGCCGTGCATTCCCAGACTCCGTGCTGCTCCTTGCTGAGGGGGTGGAGGACGAGGCTGCTGTTCCTGTCCACCTGGGCACTGCTCTTCCCCACGCTGCCCACCTGTGGGGCACGGACACACTGACAGGGAGCCACCAGCAAGCCACCCCCGTGCATGGCCAGGACTGTGACACCACCACCCTGGGCACGAGGGGACTTGAAAAGGGGGACCCACCACCCTGGGGCTGGGCTTTGCCACGTTTTTAGAGCAAAGCAAAGTGACCTGAGGCCCTTCAGGAGCCATGTGATGGGACCTCACTTTGGGATGGGGTGCAGCATTGGTGGGGACAGGGACACAGCCTCAGGAGTGATGTAGGGACAAGGACACCACCCCAAAAATGATGCCCTGGAGGCCAAAAGCGATCTCCATCACTGGGGGGGCTCAGCTGGCCCCCCAAAGCAGCAGCCCCTACCTTCATCCAGGTGATGCTGGGGGGGGGATCCCCATGAGCCGTGCAGGGGATCACCAGCTCCCGGCCCACCTCCTGGAAATATTCCTCCTTGGGCCGCACCGTGAAGGCGGGAGGGTCCTGCAAGGCAGAGGGACAGTTTGGGGGGTTTGTCAGGGGGTGCAGAGCCAGGAGGGGACCCCGAGGGGCTCCTCACCTTCAGCAGGACGCGCGTGGGCCGGGACTCGCCGGCGGTGCCGTAGCTGTTGTAGGGCGTGCAGCGGTACAGCCCCAGCGCGTCGTCGTTCCCCGTGGCGATGACGATGGAGCCGTCGGGCCGCACGGACCAGCCGGGGAGCTGGGAGAGGGGAACTGGGTGAGGAGGAGGAAGTTGGGAAGGGTGGTGAGGGTGGGAGCGGCCGTACCTTGTCCAGCTCCAGTGGGCGCCCGTCCCTCGTCCAGGTGACGGAGAGCAGGGGGGGGTTGGCCCTGGAGGGGCAGCGGATCACGCCCCTCATGCCCTTGGGCAGGTGGGTCTCCGGGAGCATGGTGGTCACCTGCGCTGGGTCTGCGGGGACACACAGGGCTGGGGTCCCCATGGGGCACCCCTGTTCCCACCACAGCCCCCACAGCAGCGACCCCTACGGCCTGGGGTGCAGGAGGGGGGGTCTTACAGAGCACTGTGACGAAGGCTGAGGCAGAAGGAGGCTTCCAGAGCCCGTTGCTGGGGGTGCAGGTGTATTTGCCAGCGTCATCCGGGGTCGTTCGCTGCAGCAGGAGGCTCCCATCCACCAGGACACGGACTCGAGCCTGGAGGTGGCTGGGAAGGGACAGGACAGCGGTGAGTGGCACAGTTGGGACTATCCCTGCTGTCCTGGGGTGGATTTGTGCCCACCACACACCCAGGCTGTCCCTGGCACTCGGGGCCAGGTTTGGAGGGCAGAGCAGCCCCGCTGCCATCCCCGTTCCTGCCTTACCTGAGGTGGAAGACGTTGCTGCTGCCCTGGAACCAGGTGTAGGTGAGGTTCCCTGGATATGCCTCAGCCTGGCACGCCAGAAAGGCATCTTGGGAGATGTTGACAGTGACGTTCTGGGGTGGCACCACAATGATGGGCGGCCCTGAGGGGGGTGCCAGGCAGAGGGGCAGTGAGGGCTGGGGACAGGGGACGGCCCCAGCTGCTCCCAAAACCGACCGTGCCACGGCTCCCTCTGTGTGCCCAGCCCACGGGGCAGGGCTGGGGGATCACCTGTCCTTACCCTGCACGAGCACACGGGTGGTGTGGGTGACAGTGCCCTCCTTGCTGGACGCGTGGCACGTGTAGGTGCCGGCGCTGGCGCGTTCCACGGCGGCGATGCTCAGCGTCCCGTTCCTCACCTGCAACGGCCACCAAGGGACAGCAACGTGTCCCGTGAACGGGGTGGTGGCAGCAGGCAGGTGCCACCACAGTGGGGATGGGCACTTGCTCTACGAGACCCCGGCTGTGCCCCATGGTGTGGTTTGTCACCCTCACCTGCACCGTGTCCCCGCTCTGGACAGGCAGGTCACTCTTCTTCCAGGTGACAACAGGCTGGGGGTTGCCGACAGCCCTGCAGGTGAGGCTCAGTGCAGCCTGGTCCCGCACCTCTACGAACGCAGGGGGGGTCTCCAGGAAGGTGGGGGGTGCTGGAAGGTAAATCCAGATCCAAACCTTCACCCCCAAACCTGGCTCGACTCGGTGTGGAAGCCCATTGTTCCCCCAGCCCTGGGACGTGTGGGCAGAGCAGGTGAGGGTGGGAAGGGCCGGTACCGTTGACGGTGAGGTGGATCCAGGTGCCGTTCTGGAAGTCGGCGTCGGTGCTGTGCCGGTCGAGGAAGAGCACCCGGCACTCGTACCAGCCCTGGTCCTCGGCACGCAGCAGGTCCAGGCGCAGCGAGGCACCTTCCTCCAGCCGCACGCGACCTGCGAGCCCGGCAGCGGCTCAGGGACAGCCACGTCCCCGGGTCACCCCATCGCCAGG